CCAGCCCTTCCAAAACCACATCGCCGGCAGATTAGGACATCAACAAACAACAACAGCGGCCGTTATCGCCGCGACGACGACCACAATCGGTCCGGTTGACCGTCGACACCTTCCCCATCTTCATCGAACTGTTCTCGGCGGTGGCGGGGGACTGGTGGCGGAATTAATGGTTGGGGGTTCAAGCGAACTTCGTTGTACGGGCGAAGACTAATGGTGGGTGGCTGAATCTGGCGATGGTGCGGCGGCGCTGGGTGAAGTCGGAGACGGCGGCCGGTGGCTTTGGGCTAGAGTGCCACCGTTTGTGGTTGTGTGTGTGTGTGTGTGTGTGTGTATGTGTGTGTGTGTGTGCATGTGTGTGTGACCTGTGTGAGTGCGTGAAAAATCAGATATTTTGTGCATGTTTTTTTGTGTGTGTTAGATGGGGGAGGGGAAAGGTTAATGGTGGGGTCCACATTAGTGTTTGATTATTTAATGAATGTGTAATGACTAATTCACCCCTATTGAGTGGTAAAAAGCATATATATGACCATGATTTATAGACTTACTTACCATACTGCCACTCATATAGTAACGCCCCAAATCAGTAATAATATTAAGAACGGTTTCACTGCTCGACTGTAAGTGAAATCCGTAATTTTCAGAAATTCCCGAGTTATATTTAGTATGCTAAATGCTCAAATATGATAAATTATTCGTTGAATAATTCTATATCAAGTTTAAGTTAAGATTAATCCATTAACTTGGGTTGTTAAATAATAGCAAGTTGATTCGAGAAATTTATCAACTCCGAACCCTAGTTTGGTTCCGATTATTTTTCAAGTTAATTCTCGAGCATAGCCAAGTCTTGGTATTTTATATTTAGAATAATTTTCTAAGTCATGGAATATTTAGAAATCTAAGTCTCGGACATTTTATAACCAAACCCTAAAGCCTAACCATGCTCACCCGAGCCGCTCGTGCTTGTCCCGAGTCCCACCCCCTTAGTCGCGCCCAAGCGGGTGTTAGCCAAGCCCAAGGCCATGTCCTAAGCCTTAGCATCACTTTGCAAATTTTTCTAAGTGTTGAGACCCTTACCTAAGCCCTATACTCAGCCCAAGGCCACCAGCACACGCGCAGCCCACCTTCCCGCGCCAGCCCAACACGCCCTCGCGCCCAGCCCGCGTCCTCGCGCCTAGGGCCCAGCGCCCAGCCCAGCGCCAGTGTTGGCAGCCCACCTTATTGAGCCCATATGACATAGTTCCGGCCCACTTTGGCCCAAGACCCCTTAATGCGTGTATTATACACTTAATAAGGATCAGCTTAAGATAAAATGGCCCTAATGAAGATTAGCCTAAGTCAACAAGAGATTAGCCCAAGGTGGACATGTGCCTTGCATTAAAATATTGAAGATTCCTTTGTCTTTTGTTAGAGTAGTATACCCAGCGTTCCAATTGGGTTGGATGTATTCTACTTGTAAATACAATCTATTGGAATTATATTAATTAAAAGGCATTACTTTATCTTAAGAGTAAGCATTTATCCTATATTTGCACTTAAGATAAAATCCCTAGATCACATATAGTTATAAGGTATGGTTGCGCATAGAGATGGTGATCATGGAACATACCTTGAAAGCTGTGGTCTTAAATAAAGTTCT